GTCGGTCATGGTCTTGGTCTTGTTCTTGGTCATGGTCATGGTCTTGATAATGGTCCTTGTCATGATGTTTGTTTCTGTGCTGTTTGTGTCTGTGCTGCTTGTGTCTGTGCTGTTGGTCATGGTCTTGGTCATGGTCATATTCGTGATCATGGTCGTGATCTTGATCATGGTCCTTTTCATGATGTTTATGTCTGTGCTGTTTGTGTCTGTGCTGCTTGTGTCTGTGCTGTCGGTCATGGTCTTGGTCTTGTTCATGGTCATGGTCATGGTCTTGATAATGGTCCTTGTCATGATGTTTGTGTCTGTGCTGTTTGTGTCTGTGCTGCTTGTGTCTGTGCTGTTGGTCATGGTCTTGGTCATGGTCATGTTCGTGATCATGGTCGTGATCTTGATCATGGTCCTTTTCATGATGTTTATGTCTGTGCTGTTTATGTCTGTGCTGCTTGTGTCTGTTCTGTTGTTCATGGTCTTGGTCATGGTTATGGTCATGTTCGTGATCATGGTGGTGATCTTGATCATGGTCTTGATCGTGGTCATGGTCTTGGTCTTGTTCATGGTCTTGATCATGGTCATGGCCGTGGTCATGGTCTTGATCATGGTTGTGGTCTTGTTCATGGTCTTGATCCTGGTCATGGTCGTAGTCTTGATCCTGGTCATGGTCATAGTCTTGTTCATGGTCTTGTTCATTGTCCTGATCGTGGTCATGGTCTTGGTCTTGTTCATCGTCTTGATCGTGGTCACGGTCTTGGTCTTGTTCATCGCCTTGATTGTGGTTATGGTCTTGGTCTTGTTCATGGTCTTGATTCTGGTCATGGTGGTAGTCTTGATCAGGTTCATGGTCGTAGTCTTGTTCATGGTCTTGTTCATTGTCTTGATCGTAGTCATGGTCATGGTCTTGTTCATCGTCTTGATCGTGGTCATGGCCTTGGTCTTGTTCATCGCCTTGATCGTGGTCATGGTCTTGGTCTTGTTCATGGTCTTGATCGTGATCTTTATCCTGGTCATGGTCATGGTCTTGTTCATGGTCATGATCGTGGTCATGGTGGTGGTCTTGATCGTGGCCTTGATCGTGGTCATGGTCTTGGTCTTGTTCATGGTCTTGATCGTGGTCATGGTCTTGGTCTTGTTCATGGTCATGGTCATGGTCTTGATAATGGTCCTTGTCATGATGTTTGTGTCTGTGCTGTTTGTGTCTGTGCTGCTTGTGTCTGTGCTGTTGGTCATGGTCATGTTCATGATCAATGTTGTGATCTCTATCATGGTCCTTGTCATGATGTTTGTGTCTGTGCTGTTGGTCATGGTCTTGGTCTTTATCATGGTCATGGTCTTGATCGTGGTCCTTGTCATTATGTTTGTGTCTGTGCTGCTTGTGTCTGTGCTTCTTGTGTCTGTGCTGTTGGTCATGGTCTTGGTCATGGTCATGTTCGTGATCATGGTCGTGATCTTGATCATGGTCCTTTTCATAATGTTTGTATCTGTGCTGTCGGTCATGGTCTTGGTCTTGTTCTTGGTCATGGTCATGGTCTTGATAATGGTCCTTGTCATGATGTTTGTTTCTGTGCTGTTTGTGTCTGTGCTGCTTGTGTCTGTGCTGTTGGTCATGGTCTTGGTCATGGTCATATTCGTGATCATGGTCGTGATCTTGATCATGGTCCTTTTCATGATGTTTATGTCTGTGCTGTTTGTGTCTGTGCTGCTTGTGTCTGTGCTGTCGGTCATGGTCTTGGTCTTGTTCATGGTCATGGTCATGGTCTTGATAATGGTCCTTGTCATGATGTTTGTGTCTGTGCTGTTTGTGTCTGTGCTGCTTGTGTCTGTGCTGTTGGTCATGGTCTTGGTCATGGTCATGTTCGTGATCATGGTCGTGATCTTGATCATGGTCCTTTTCATGATGTTTATGTCTGTGCTGTTTATGTCTGTGCTGCTTGTGTCTGTGCTGTTGTTCATGGTCTTGGTCATGGTTATGGTCATGTTCGTGATCATGGTGGTGATCTTGATCATGGTCTTGATCGTGGTCATGGTCTTGGTCTTGTTCATGGTCTTGATCATGGTCATGGCCGTGGTCATGGTCTTGATCATGGTTGTGGTCTTGTTCATGGTCTTGATCCTGGTCATGGTCGTAGTCTTGATCCTGGTCATTTTCATAGTCTTGTTCATGGTCTTGTTCATTGTCCTGATCGTGGTCATGGTCTTGGTCTTGTTCATCGTCTTGATCGTGGTCACGGTCTTGGTCTTGTTCATCGCCTTGATTGTGGTTATGGTCTTGGTCTTGTTCATGGTCTTGATTCTGGTCATGGTGGTAGTCTTGATCAGGTTCATTGTCGTAGTCTTGTTCATGGTCTTGTTCATTGTCTTGATCGTAGTCATGGTCATGGTCTTGTTCATCGTCTTGATCGTGGTCATGGCCTTGGTCTTGTTCATCGCCTTGATCGTGGTCATGGTCTTGGTCTTGTTCATGGTCTTGATCGTGATCTTTATCCTGGTCATGGTCGTGGTCTTGTTCATGGTCATGATCGTGGTCATGGTGGTGGTCTTGATCGTGGCCTTGATCGTGGTCATGGTCTTGGTCTTGTTCATGGTCTTGATCGTGGTCATGGTCTTGGTCTTGTTCATGGTCTTGATCATTGTCTTGATCGTGGTTATGGTCTTGGTCTTGTTCATGGTCTTGATCGTGGTCTTGATCATGGTCCTTGTCATGATGTTTGTCTCTGTGCTGTTTGTGACTGTGCTGCTTGTGTCTGTGCTGTTGGTCATGGTCATGGTCATGTTCGTGATCATGGTCGTGATCTTGAACATGGTCCTTTTCATGATGTTTGTGTCTGTGCTGTTTGTGTCTGTGCTGCTTGTGTCTGTGCTGTTGGTCATGGTCTTGGCCATGGTCATGTTCATGATCATGGTCGTGATCTTGATCATGGTCCTTGTCATGATGTTTGTGTCTGTGCTTCTTGTGTCTGTGCTGTTGGTCATGGTCACGGTCATGTTCGTGATCATGGTCGTGATCTTGATAATGGTCCTTGTCGTGATATTTGTGGCTGTGCTGCTGGTCATGGTCTTTTTCTTGTTCGTGATCATGGTCTTGATCATGGTCCTTGTCATGATGTTTTTCTCTGTGTTGTTTGTGTCTGTGCTGCTTGTGTGTGTGCTCTTGGTCATGGTCATGTTCGTTATCACGGTCGTGATCTTGATCACGGTCCTTGCCATGATGTTTGCGTCTGTGCTGTTTGTGTCTGTGCTGCTTGTGTCTGTGCTGTTGGTCATGGTCCTGGTCATGTTCGTGATCATGGACGTGATCTTTATCGTGGTCCTTGTCATGATGTTTGTGTCTGTGCTGTTGGTCATGGTCCTTGTCTTGTTCTTGGTCATGGTCTTGATCATGGTCCTTGTCATGTTGTTTGTGTCTGTGCTGCTTTTGTCTGTGCTGTTGGTCATGGTCTTGGTCATGGTCATGTTCATAATCATGGTCGTGATCTTGATCATGGTCCTTGTCATGATATTTGTGTCTGTGCTGTTTTTGTCTGTGCTGCTTGTGTCTGTGCTGTTGGTCATGGTCATGGTCATGTTCGTGATCAATGTTGTGATCTCTATCATGGTCCTTGTCATGATGTTTGTGTCTGTGCTGTTGGTCATGGTCTTGGTCTTTATCATGGTCATGGTCTTGATCGTGGTCCTTGTCATTATGTTTGTGTCTGTGCTGCTTGTGTCTGTGCTGTTGGTCATGGTCTTGGTAATGGTCATGGTCATGTTCGTGATCATGGTCATGATCTTGATCATGGTCCTTGTCATGATGTTTGTGGCTGTGCTTTTGGTCATGGTCTTTGTCTTTATCATGGTCATGGTCATGGTCTTGATCGTGGTCCTTGTCATAATGTTTGTGTCTGTGCTGCTTGTGTCTGTGCTGCTTGTGTCTGTGCTGTTGGTCATGGTCTTGGTCTTGTTCGTGATCATGGTCGTGATCTTGATCATGGTCCTTGTCATGATATTTGTGTCTGTGCTGTTTTTGTCTGTGCTGCTTGTGTCTGTGCTGTTGGTCATGGTCTTGGTCTTGTTCGTGATCATGGTCGTGATCTTGATCATGGTCCTTGTCATGATGTTTGTTGCTCTGCTTTTGGTCATGTTCGTGATCATGGTCTTGATCTTTATCGTGGTCCTTGTCATGATGTTTGTGTCTGTGCTGTTTGTGTCTGTGCTGCTTGCGTCTGTGCTGTTGGTCATGGTCATTGTCATGTTCGTGATCACTGTCGTGATCTCTATCATGGTCCTTGTCATTATGTTGGTGTCTGTGCTTGTGTCTGTGCTGCTGGTCATGGTCATGGTCATGTTCATGATCATGGTCATGATCTTGATCATGGTCCTTGTCATGATGTTTGTGGCTGTGCTTTTGGTCATGGTCTTTGTCTTTATCATGGTCATTGTCATGGTCTTGATCGTGGTCCTTGTCATGATGTTTGTGTCTGTGCTGCTTTTGTCTGTGCTGTTGGTCATGGTCATGGTCATGTTTGTGATCAATGTCGTGATCTCTATCATGGTCCTTGTCATGATGTTTGTGTCTGTGCTGTTGGTCATGGTCTTGGTCTTTATCATGGTCATGGTCTTGATCGTGGTCCTTGTCATTATGTTTGTGTCTGTGCTGCTTGTGTCTGTGCTGTTGGTCATGGTCTTGGTCATGGTCATGGTCATGGTCGTGATCATGGTCATGATCTTGATCATGGTCCTTGTTATGATGTTTGTGTCTGTGCTGTTTGTTTCTGTGCTGCTTGTGTCTGTGCTGTTGGTCATGGTCTTGGTCATGGTCATGTTCATGATCATGGTCGTGATCTTGATCATGGTCCTTGTAATGATGTTTGTGCCTGTGCTTTTGGTCATGGTCTTTGTCTTGTTCTTGGTCATGGTCATGGTCATGGTCTCGATCATTGTCCTTGTCACGTTGTTTGTGTCTGTGCTGCTTGTGTCTGTCCTGATTTTGTCTGTGCTGTTGGTCATGGTCTTGGCCTTGTTTGTGGTCATGGTCGTGGTCCTGATCATTGTCCTTGTCATGATGTTTGTGTCTGTGCTGTTTGTTTCTGTGCTGCTTGTGTCTGTGCTGTTGGTCATGGTCATGGTCATGCTCGTGATCATGGTGGTGATCTTGATCATGGTCCTTGTCATGATGTTTGCGTCTGTGCTGCCTGTGTCCGTGCTGTTGGTCATGGTCTTGTTCATGGTCATGGTCATATTCGTGATCATGGCCGTGATCTTGATCATGGTCCTTGTCATGATGTTTGTGTCTGTGCTTTTTGTGTCTGTCTTGTTGGTCATGGTCTTGGTCTTTATCATGGTGATGGTCGTGGTCTTGATCATGGTCCTTGTCATGATGTCTGTGTATGTGCTGTTTGTGTCTGTGCTGCTTGTGTCTTTGCTGTTGGTCATGGTCTTGGTCATGGTCATGTTCGTGATCTTGATCATGGTCCTTGTCATTATGTTTGTGTCTGTGCTGCTTGTGTCTGTGCTGTTGGTCATGGTCTTGGTCATGGTCATGGTCATGTTCGTGATTATGGTCATGATCTTGATCATGGTCCTTGTCATGATGTTTGTGTCTGTGCTGTTTGTTTCTGTGCTGCTTGTGTGTGTGCGATTCGTCATGGTCTTGTTCATGGCCATGGTCATGTTCGTGAGCATGGCCGTGATCTTGTTCATGGTCCTTGTCATGATGTTTGTGTCTGTGCTGCTTGTGTCTGTGCTGTTGTTCATGGTCTTGGTCTTGTTTGTGGTCATGGTCATGGTCTTGATCATGTTCCTTGTCATGATGTTTGTGTCTGTGCTGTTTGTGTCTGTGCTGCTTGTGTCTGTGCTGTTGGTCATGGTCTTGGTCATGGTCATGTTCGTGATCATGGCCGTGATCTTGATCATGGTCCTTGTCATGACGTTTGTGTCTTTGATGTTGGTCATGGTCTTTATCATGGTCATGGTCTTGATCGTGGTCCTTGTCATGATGTTTGTGTCTGTGCTGTTTGTGTCTGTGCTGCTTTTGTCTGTGCTGCTTTTGTCTGTGCTGTTGGTCATGGTCATGGTCATGTTCGTTATCATGGTCATGATCTTGATCATGGTCCTTGTCACGTTGTTTGTGTCTGTGCTGTTCGTCATGGTCTTGGTCTTGTTCGTCGTCATGGTCGTGGCCTTGATCATATTCCTTGTCATGATGTTTGTGTCTTTGCTGTTTGTGTCTGTGCTGCCTGTGTCCGTGCTGTTGGTCATGGTCTTCGTCATGGTCGTGGTCATGTTCTTGGTCATGGTGGTTATTTTGATCATGGTCCTTGATCACGATCATGGTCACTCGATGTTTGTGGCTCTGATGTTGATCATGGCCGTGATCTTGATCATGGTCCTTGTCATGATGTTTGTGTCTGTGCTGTTGGTCATGGTCTTGGTCTTTATCATGGTCATGATCTTGATCGTGGTCCTTGTCATGATGTTTGTGTCTGTGCTTTTTGTGTCCGTGCTGCTTGTGTCTGAGCTGTTGGTCATGGTCTTGGTCATGGTCATGTTCGTGATCATGGACGTGATCTTGTTCATGGTCCTTGTCATGATGTTTGTGTCTGTGCTGTTGGTCATGGTCTTTATCATGGTCATGGTCTTGATCGTGGTCCTTTTCATGATGTTTGTGTCTGTGCTGCTTTTGTCTGTGTTGTTGGTCATGGTCATGGTCATGTTCGTTATCATGGTCTTGATCTTGATCATGGTCCTTGTCACGTTGATTGTGTCGGTGCTCTTCGTCATGGTCTTGGTCTTGTTCGTGGTCATGGTCGTGGCCTTGATCATGTTCCTTGTCATGATGTTTGTGTCTGTGCTGCTTGTGTCTGTGCTGTTGGTCATGGTCTTGGTCATGGTCATGTTCTTGGTCATGGTGGTTATCTTGATCATGGTCCTTGATCACGATCATGGTCACTCGATGTTTGTGGCTCTGCTGTTGATCATGGCCGTGATCTTGATCATGGTCCTTGTCATGATGTTTGTGTCTGTGCTGTTGGTCATTGTTTTGGTCTTTATCATGGTCATGGTCATGGTCTTGATCGTGGTCCTTGTCATGATGTTTGTGTCTGTGCTGTTTGTGTCTGTGCTGCTTTTGTCGGTGCTGTTGGTCATGGTCTTGGTCATGGTCATGTTCGTTATCATGGTCATGATCTTGATCATGGTCCTTGTCACGTTGTTTGTGTCTGTGCTGTTCGTCATGGTCTTGGTCTTTATCATGGTCATGGTCTTGATCGTGGTCCTTGTCATGATGTTTGTGTCTGTGCTGTTTGTGTCTGTGCTGCTTGTGTCTGTGATGTTGGTCATGGTCTTGGTCATGGTCATGTTCGTGATCATGGCCGTGATCTTGATCATGGTCCTTGTAATGATGTTTGTGTCTGTGCTGTTGGTCATGGTCATGGTCATGCTCGTTATCATGGTCATGATCTTGATCATGGTCCTTGTCACGTTGTTTGTGTCTGTGCTGTTCGTCATTGTCTTGGTCTTGTTCGTGGTCATGGCCTTGATCATGTTCCTTGTCATGATGTTTGTGTCTGTGCTGTTTGTGTCTGTTCTGCTTGTGTCTGTGCTGTTGGGCATGGTCTTGGTCATGGTCATGGTCATGTTCTTGGTCATGGTGGTTATCTTGATCATGGTCCTTGATCACGATCATGGTCACTCGATGTTTGTGGCTCTGCTGTTGATCATGGCCGTGATCTTGATCATGGTCCTTGTCATGATGTTTGTGTCTGTGCTGTTGGTCATGGCCATGGTCTTTATCATGGTCATGGTCTTGATCGTGGTCCTTGTCATGATGTTTGTGTCTGTGCTGTTTGTGTCTGTGCTGCTTTTGTCTGTGCTGTTGGTCATGGTCTTGGTCATGGTCATGTTCGTTATCATGGTCATGATCTTGATCATGGTCCTTGCCACGTTGTTTGTGTCTGTGCTGTTCGTCATGGTCTTGGTCTTGTTCGTGGTCATGGTCGTGGTCTTGATCATGTTCCTTGTCATGATGTTTGTGTCTGTGCTGTTTGTGTCTGTGCTGCTTGTGTCTGTGCTGTTGGTCATGGTCTTGGTCATGGTCATGGTCATGTTCGTGGTCATGGTGGTGATCTTGATCATGGTCCTTGATCACGATCATGGTCACACGATGTTTGTGGCTCTGCTGTTGATCATGGTCGTGATCTTGATCACGGTCCTTGTCATGATGATTGTGTCTGTGCTGGTGGTCATGGTCTTTGTCTTTATCATGGTCATGGTCGCTGTCTTGATTGTGGTCCTTGTCATGATGTTTGTGTCTGTGCTGTTGGTCATGGTCTTGGTCATGGTCATGTTCATGATCATGGTCATGATCTTGATCATTGTCCTGGTCATGATGTTTGTGTCTGTGCTGTTGGTCATGGTCTTGGTCCTGGTCATGGTGATTTTCGTGATCATGGTCGTGATCTTGATCATGGTCCTTGTCATGATGTTTGTGTCTGTGCTGCTTGTGTCTGTGCTGTTGGTCATGGTCTTGGTCATGGTCATGGTCATGTTCGTGATCATGGTCGTGATCTTGATCATGGTCCTTGTCACGATGTTTTTTTCTCTGCTGCTTGTGCCTGTGCTGTTGGTCATGGTCTTGGTCTTGTTTGTGGTCATGGTCGTGGTCTTGATCATGGTCCTTGTCATGATGTTTGTGTCTGTGCTGTTTGTGTCTGTGCTGTTGGTCATGGTCATGGTCATGTTCGTGGTCATGGTGGTGATCTTGATCATGGTCCTTGATCACGATCATGGTCTCTTCATGTTTGTGGCTCTGCTGTTGATCATGGCCGTTATCTTGACCATTGTCCTTGTCATGATGTTTGTGTCTGTGCTGTTGGTCATGGTCTTTATCATGGTCATGGTCTTGATCGTGGTCCTGGTCATGATGTTTGTGTCTGTGCTGGTTTTGTCTGTGCTGTTGGTCATGGTCATGGTCATGTTCGTTATCATGTTCATGATCTTGATCATGGTCCTTGTCACGTTGTTTGTGTCTGTGCTGTTCGTCATGGTGTTGGTCTTGTTCGCGGTCATGGCCTTGATCATGTTCCTTGTCATGATGTTTGTGTCTGTGCTGTTTGTGTCTGTGCTGCTTGTGTCTGTGCTGTTGGGCATGGTCTTGGTCATGGTCATGGTCATGTTCTTGGTCATGGTGGTTATCTTGATCATGGTCCTTGATCACGATCATGGTCACTCGATGTTTGTGGCTCTGCTGTTGATCATGGCCGTGATCTTGATCATGGTCCTTGTCATGATGTTTGTGTCTGTGCTGTTGGTTATGGTCTTGGTCTTTATCATGGTCATGGTCATGGTCTTGATCATGGTCCTTGTCATGATGTTTGTGTCTGTGCTGCTTGTGTCTGTGCTGTTGGTCATGGTCTTGGTCATGGTCATGGTCATGTTCGTGATCATGGTCGTGATCTTGATCATGGTCCTTGTCACGATGTTTTTTTCTCTGCTGCTTGTGCCTGTGCTGTTGGTCATGGTCTTGGTCTTGTTTGTGGTCATGGTCTTTGTCTTGATCATGGTCCTTGTCATGATGTTTGTGTCTGTGCTGTTGGTCATGGTCATGGTCATGTTCGTGGTCATGGTGGTGATCTTGATCATGGTCCTTGATCACGATCATGGTCTCTTCATGTTCGTGGCTCTGCTGTTGATCATGGCCGTTATCTTGACCATTGTCCTTGTTATGATGTTTGTGTCTGTGCTGTTGGTCATGGTCTTGGTCTTTATCATGGTCATGGTCATGGTCTTGATCGTGGTCCTTGTCATGATGTTTGTGTCTGTGCTGTTGGTCATGGTCTTTATCATGGTCATGGTCTTGATCGTGGTCCTGTTCATGATGTTTGTGTCTGTGCTGGTTTTGTCTGTGCTGTTGGTCATGGTCATGGTCATGTTCGTGATCATGTTCATGATCTTGATCATGGTCCTTGTCACGTTGTTTGTGTCTGTGCTGTTCGTCATGGTGTTGGTCTTGTTCGCGGTCATGGCTTTGATCATGTTCCTTGTCATGATGTTTGTGTCTGTGCTGTTTGTGTCTGTGCTGCTTGTGTCTGTGCTGTTGGGCATGGTCTTGGTCATGGTCATGGTCATGTTCTTGGTCATGGTGGTTATCTTGATCATGGTCCTTGATCACGATCATGGTCACTCGATGTTTGTGGCTCTGCTGTTGATCATGGCCGTGATCTTGATCATGGTCCTTGTCATGATGTTTGTGTCTGTGCTGTTGGTTATGGTCTTGGTCTTTATCATGGTCATGGTCTTGATCATGGTCCTTGTCATGATGTTTGTGTCTGTGCTGCTTTTGTCTGTGCTGTTGGTCATGGTCTTGGTCATGGTCATGGTCATGTTCGTGATCATGGTCGTGATCTTGATCATGGTCCTTGTCACGATGTTTTTTTCTCTGCTGCTTGTGCCTGTGCTGTTGGTCATGGTCTTGGTCTTGTTTGTGGTCATGGTCTTGGTCTTGATCATGGTCCTTGTCATGATGTTTGTGTCTGTGCTGTTTGTGTCTGTGCTGCTGGTCATGGTCATGGTCATGTTCGTGGTCATGGTGGTGATCTTGATCATGGTCCTTGATCACGATCATGGTCTCTTCATGTTCGTGGCTCTGCTGTTGATCATGGCCGTTATCTTGACCATTGTCCTTGTTATGATGTTTGTGTCTGTGCTGTTGGTCATGGTCTTGGTCTTTATCATGGTCATGGTCATGGTCTTGATCGTGGTCCTTGTCATGATGTTTGTGTCTGTGCTGTTGGTCATGGTCTTTATCATGGTCATGGTCTTGATCGTGGTCCTGTTCATGATGTTTGTGTCTGTGCTGGTTTTGTCTGTGCTGTTGGTCATGGTCATGGTCATGTTCGTTATCATGTTCATGATCTTGATCATGGTCCTTGTCACGTTGTTTGTGTCTGTGCTGTTCGTCATGGTGTTGGTCTTGTTCACGGTCATGGCCTTGATCATGTTCCCTGTCATGATGTTTGTGTCTGTGCTGTTTGTGTCTGTGCTGCTTGTGTCTGTGCTGTTGGGCATGGTCTTGGTCATGGTCATGGTCATGTTCTTGGTCATGGTGGTTATCTTGATCATGGTCCTTGATCACGATCATGGTCACTCGATGTTTGTGGCTTTGCTGTTGATCATGGCCGTGATATTGATCATGGTCCTTGTCATGATGTTTGTGTCTGTGCTGTTGGTTATGGTCTTGGTCTTTATCATGGTCATGGTCATGGTCTTGATCATGGTCCTTGTCATGATGTTTGTGTCTGTGCTGTTTGTGTCTGTGCTGCTTTTGTCTGTGCTGTTGGTCATGGTCTTGGTCATGGTCATGTTCGTTATCATGGTCATGATCTTGATCATGGTCCTTGTCACGTTGTTTGTGTCTGTGCTGTTCGTCATGGTCTTGGTCTTGTTCGTGGTCATGGTCGTGGTCTTGATCATGTTCCTTGTCATGATGTTTGTGTCTGTGCTGTTTGTGTCTGTGCTGCTTGTGTCTGTACCGTTGGTCATGGTCTTCGTCATGGTCATGGTCATGTTCGTGGTCATGGTGGTGATCTTGATCATGGTCCTTGATCACGATCATGGTCACACGATGTTTGTGGCTCTGCTGTTGATCATGGTCGTGATCTTGATCATGGTCCTTGTCATGATGTTTGTGTCTGTGCTGGTGGTCATGGTCTTTGTCTTTATCATTGTCATGGTCGCTGTCTTGATTGTGGTCCTTGTCATGATGTTTGTGTCTGTGCTGTTGGTCATGGTCTTCGTCTTCTTTGTGGTCGTGGTCTTGGTCATGGTCATGTTCGTGATCATGGTTGTGATCTTGATCATGGTCCTTGTCATGATGTTTGTGTCTGTGCTGCTTGTGTCTGTGCTGTTGGTCATGGTCTTGTTCATGGTCATGGTCATGTTCTTGATCATGGTCGTGATCTTGATCACGGTCCTTGTCATGATGTTTTTTTCTGTGCTGCTTGTGTCTGTGCTGTTGGTCATGGTCTTGGTCTTGTTTTTGGTCATGGTCGTGGTCTTGATCATGGCCCTTGTCATGATGTTTGTGTCTGTGCTGTTGGTCATGGTCATGGTCATGGTCATGTTCGTGGTCATGGTGGTGATCTTGATCATGGTCCTTGATCACGATCATGGTCACTTGATGTTCGTGGCTCTGCTGTTGATCATGGCCGTGATCTTGATCATTGTCCTTGTCATGATGTTTGTGTCTGTGCTGTTGGTCATGGTCTATGTCTTTATCATGGTCATGGTCATGGTCTTGATCGTGGTCCTTGTCATGATGTTTGTGTCTGTGCTGTTTGTGTCTGTGCTGCTTTTGTCTGTGCTGTTGGTCATGGTCTTGGTCATGGTCATGGTCATGTTCATTATCATGGTCATGATCTTGATCATGGTCCTTGTCACGTTGTTTGCGTATGTGCTGTTCTTCATGGTCTTGGTCTTTGTCATGGTCGTGGTCTTGATCATGTTCCTCGTCATGATGTTTGTGTCTGTGCTGTTTGTGTCTGTGCTGCTTGTCTCTGTGCTGTTGGTCATGGTCTTGGTCATGGTCATGTTCGTGGTCATGGTGGTGATCTTGATCATGGTCCTTGATCACGATCATGGTCACTCGATGTTCGTGGCTCTGCTGTTGATCATGGCCGTGATCTTGATCATTGTCCTTGTCATGATGTTTGTGTCTGTGCTGTTGGTCATGGTCTTGGTCTTTATCATGGTCATGGTCATGGTCTTGATCGTGGTCCTTGTCATGATGTTTGTGTCTGTGCTGTTTGTGTCTGTGCTGCTTTTGTCTGTGCTGTTGGTCATGGTCTTGGTCATGGTCATGGTCATGTTCGTTATCATGGTCATGATCTTGATCATGGTCCTTGTCACGTTGTTTGCGTCTGTGCTGTTCGTCATGGTCTTGGTCTTTGTCATGGTCTTGGTCTTGATCATGTTTCTTGTCATGATGTTTGTGTCTGTGCTGTTTGTGTCTGTGCTGCTTGTGTCTGTGCTGTTGGTCTATGTCTTGGTCATGGTCATGTTCGTGGTCATGGTTGTGATCTTGATCATGGTCCTTGATCACGATCATGGTCACACGATGTTTGTGGCTCTGCTGTTGGTCATGGTCGTGATCTTGATTATGGTCCTTGTCATGATGTTTGTGTCTGTGCTGGTGGTCATGGTCTTGGTCTTTATCATGGTCATGGTCGCTGTCTTGATTGTGGTCCTTGTCATGATGTTTGTGTCTGTGCTGTTGGTCATGGTCTTGGTCTTCTTTGTGGTCTTGGTCCTGGTCATGGTCATGTTCGTGATCATGGTTGTGATCTTGATCATGGTCATTGTCATGATGTTTGTGTCTGTGCTGCTTGTGTCTGTGCTTTTGGTCATGGTCTTGGTCTTGTTCGTGGTCATGGTCGTGGTCTTGATCATGGTCCTTGTCATGATGTTTGTGTCTGTATTGTTTGTGTCTGTGCTGCTTGTGTCTGTGCTGTTGGTCATGGTCTTGGTCATGGTCATGTTCATGATCATGGTCATGATCTTGATCATTGTCCTTGTCATTATGTTTGTGTCTGTGCTGTTGGTCATGGTCTTCGTCTTCTTTGTGGTGGTGGTCTTGGTCATGGTCATGTTCGTGATCATGGTTGTGATCTTGATCATGGTCCTTGTCATGATGTTTGTGTCTGTGCTGCTTGTGTCTGTGCTGTTGGTCATGGTCTTGTTCATGGTCATGGTCATGTTCGTGATCATGGTCGTGATCTTGATCATGAACCTTGTCATGATGTTTTTTTCTGTGCTGCTTGTGTCTGTGCTGTTGGTCATGGTCTTGGTCTTGTTTGTGGTCATGGACGTGGTCTTGATCATGGCCCTTGTCATGATGTTTGTGTCTGTGCTGTTGGTCATGGTCATGGTCATGGTCATGTTCGTGGTCATGGTGGTGATCTTGATCATGGTCCTTGATCACGATCATGGTCACTTGATGTTCGTGGCTCTGCTGTTGATCATGGCCGTGATCTTGATCATGGTCCTTGTCATGATGTTTGTGTCTGTGCTGTTGGTCATGGTCTATGTCTTTATCATGGTCATGGTCATGGTCTTGATCGTGGTCCTTGTCATGATGTTTGTGTCTGTGCTGTTTGTGTCTGTGCTGTTGGTCATGGTCTTGGTCATGGTCATGGTCATGTTCATTATCATGGTCATGATCTTGATCATGGTCCTTGTCACGTTGTTTGCGTTTGTGCTGTTCGTCATGGTCTTGGTCTTTGTCATGGTCGTGGTCTTGATCATGTTCCTCGTCATGATGTTTGTGTCTGTGCTGTTTGTGTCTGTGCTGCTTGTCTCTGTGCTGTTGGTTATGGTCTTGGTCATGGTCATGGTCATGATCTTGATCATGGTCCTTGTCACGATGTTTTTTTCTGTGCTGCTTGTGTCTGTGCTGTTGGTCATGGTCTTGTTCATGGTCATGGTCATGATCTTTATCATGGTCCTTGTCACGATGTTTTTTTCTGTGCTGCTTGTGTCTGTGCTGTGTGTCATGGTCTTGGTCTTGTTTGTGGTCATGGTCGTGGTCTTGATCATGGTCCTTGTCATGATGTTTGTGTCTGTGCTGTTGGTCATGGTCTTGGTTATGGTCATGGTCATGTTCGTGGTCATGGTCGTGATCTTGATCATGGTCCTTGATCACGATCATGGTCACACGATGTTTGTGGCTCTGCTGTTGATTATGGTCGTGATCTTGATCATGGTCCTTGTCATGATGATTGTGTCTGTGCTGTTGGTCATGGTCTTGGTCTTTATCATGGTCATGGTCGCTGTCTTGATTGTGGTCCTTGTCATGATGTTTGTGTCTGTGCTGCTTGTGTCTGTGCTGTTGGTCATGGTGTTGGTCTTGTTTGTGGTCATGGTCGTGGTCTTGATCATGGTCCTTGTCATGATGTTTGTGTCTGTGCTCCTTTTGTCTGTGCTGTTGGTCATGGTCTTGGTCATGGTCACGGTCATGTTCGTGGTCATGGTGGTGATCTTGATCATGGTCCTTGTCATGATGTTTGTTGCACTGCTTTTGGTCATGGTCATGTTCATGATCATGGTCGTGATCTTGATCATGGTCCTTGATCACGATCATGTTCACACGATGTTTGTGGCTCTGCTGTTGATTATGGTCGTGATCTTGATCATGGTCCTTGTCATGATGATTGTGTCTGTGCTGTTGGTCATGGTCTTGGTCTTTACCATGGTCATGGTCGCTGTCTTGATTGTGGTCCTTGTCATGATGTTTGTGTCTGTGCTGTTGGTCATGGTCTTGGTCATGGTCATGTTCATGATTATGGTCAGGATCTCGATCATGGTCCTTGTCATGATGTTTGCGTCTGTGCTGTTGATCATGGTCTTGGTCTTCTTTGTGGTCGTGGTCTTGGTCATGGTCATTTTCGTGATCATCGTTGTGATCTTGATCATGGTCCTTGTCATGATGTTTGTGTCTGTGCTGCTTGTGTCTGTGCTGTTGGTCATGGTCATTTTTGTGATGATGGTTGTCATCTTGATCATGGTCCTTGTCATGATGTTTGTGTCTGTGCTGTTTGTGTTTGTGCTGCTTGTGTCTGTGCTGTTGGTCATGGTCTTGGTCCTGGTCATGGTCATTTTCGTGATTATGGTCGTTATCTTGATCATGGTCCTTGTCATGATGTTTGTGTCTGTGCTCTTGGTCATGGTCATGGTCGTGGTCTTGATCATGGTCCTTGTCATGATGTTTGTGTCTGTGCTGCTTGTGTCTGTGCTGTTGGTCATGGTCCTTGTCATGGTCATGGTGGTGATCTTGATCATGGTCCTTGTCATGATGTATGTTGCACTGCTTTTGGTCATGGTCATGTTCGTGATCATGGTTGTGATCTTGATCATGGTCCTTGATCACGATCATGGTCACACGATGTTTGTGAGTCTGCTGTTGATTATGGTCGTGATCTTGATCATGGTCCTTGTCATGATGTTTGTGTCTGTGCTGTTGGTCATGGTGTTGGTCTTTATCATGGTCATGTTCGTGGTCTTGATTGTGGTCCTTGTCATGATGTTTGTGTCTGTGCTGTTGGCCATGGTCCTGGTCATGTTCATGTTCGTGATCATGGTCGTGATCTTGATCATGGTCCTTGGCATGATGCTTGTGTCTGTGCTGTTTTTGTCTGTGCTGTTTGTGTCTGTGCTGCTTGTGTCTGTGCTGTTGGTCATGGTCTTGGTCATTGTCATGTTTGTGATCATGTTCGTGATCTTGATCATGGTCTTTGTCATGTTGTTTGTGTCTGTGCTGTTCATCATGGTCTTGGTCTTGTTCGTGGTCTTGGTCATGGTGTTGATCATGGTCCTTGTCATGATGTGTGTGTCTGTGCTGTTGGTCATGGTCTTGGTCATGGTCATGGTCTTGATCATGGTCCTTGTCATGATGTTTGTGTCTGTGCTGTTGGTCATGGTCTTGGTCTTTAACATGGTCATGGTCTTGATCGTGGTCCTTGTCATGATGTTTGTGTCTGTGCTGTTTGTGTCTGTGCTGCTTGTGTCTGTGCTGTTGGTCATGGTCTTGGTCATGGTCATGTTCGTGATCATAGTCGTGATCTTTATCATGGTCCTTGTCATGATGTTTGTGTCTGTGCTGTTGGTCATGGTCTTGGTCTTGTTCGTGGTCATGGTCGTGGACTTGATCACGGTCCTTGTCATGATGTTTGTGTCTGTGCTGTTGGTCATGGTCTTGGTCTTGTTCGTGGTCATGGTCGTGGACTTGATCATGGTCCTTGTCATGATGTTTGTGTCTGTGCTGTTTGTGTGTGTGCTGATGGTCATGGTCTCTGTCATGGTCATGGTCATGTTCGTGATCATGGTCGTGATCTTGATCATGGTCCTTGTCATGGTGTTTGTGTCTGTGCTGTTTGTGTCTGTGCGTCTTGTGTCTGTGCTGATGGTCATGGTCTCTGTCATGATCGTGGTCATGCTCATGATCATGGTCTTGATCTTGATCATGGTCCTTGTCATGATGTTTGTGTCTGTGCTGTTTGTGTGTGTGCTGATGGTCATGGTCTCTGTCATGGTCATGGTCATGTTCGTGGTCATGGTCGTGGACTTGATCATGGTCCTTGTCATGGTGTTTGTGTCTGTGCTGTTTGTGTCTGTGCGTCTTGTGTCTGTGCTGATGGTCATGGTCTCTGTCATGATCGTGGTCATGCTCATGATCATGGTCTTGATCTTGATTATGGTCCTTGTCATGTTGTTTGTGTCTGTGCTGCTTGTGTCTGTGTTGTTGGTCATGGTCTTGGTCATGGTCATGGTCCTGTTTGTGATCATGGTCGTGATCTTGATCATGGTCCTTGTCATGATGTTTGTTGCTCTGCTTTTTGTCTTGGTCATGTTCGTGATCATGGTCGTGATCTTTATCGTGGTCCTTGTCATGATGTTTGTGTCTGTGCTGCTGGTCATGGTCTTTGTCTTGTTTGTGGTCATGGTCGTGGTCTTTATCATGTTCCTTGTCATGATGTTTGCGTCTGTGCTGTTTGTGCCGTTGCTGTTGGTCATGGACTTGGTCATCCTCATGGTCATGTTCGTGATCTTGATTATGGTCCTTGTCATGATGTTTGTGTCTGTTCTTTATGTCATGGTCTTGGTCTTTATCATGGTCATGGTCATGGGCTTGATCACGCTCCTCGTCATGATCTTTGTGTCTGTGCTGTTGGTCATGGTCATCTTTTTGATCATTGTCATGGTCGTGACCATGATCATGGTCCATGTCATGATGTTTGTTTTTCTGCTGTTGGTGATGGTCTTGGTCTTGATCATGGTCGTGATTTTGATCATGGTCCTTGTCGTGATGTTTGTGTTTGTGCTGCTTGTGTCTGTGTTGTTGATCATGGTCTTGGTTTTGATCATGGTCCTTGTCATGATGTTTGTGTCTGTGCTGTTGGTCATGGTCTTTGTCTTGTTCGTGGTCATGGTCGTGGTCTTGATCATGGTCCTTGTCATGATGTTTGTTGCTCTGCTTTTTGTCTTGGTCATGTTCGTGATCATGGTCGTGATCTTTATCGTGGTCCTTGTCATGATGTTTGCGTCTGTGCTGTTTGTGTCGTTGCTGTTGGCCATGGTCTCTGTCTTGTTCGTGGTCCTGGTCGTGATCTTTATCGTGGTCCTTGTCATGATGTTTGTGTCTGCGCTGTTGGTCATGGTCTTTGTCTTGTTCGTGGTCATGGTCGTGGTCTTGATCATGGTCCTTGTCATGATGTTTGCGTCTGTGCTGTTTGTGTCGTTGCTGTTGGTCATGGTCTTTGTCTTGTTCGTGGTCCTGGTCGTGATCTTTATCGTGGTCCTTGTCATGATGTTTGTGTCTGCGCTGTTTGTGTCTGTGTTGTTGGTCATGATCTTGGCCATGGTCATGGTCATGGTCGTGATTTTGATCATGGTCCTTGTCGTGATGTTTGTGTTTGTGCTGCTTGTGTCTGTGCTGCTTGTGTCTGTGTTGTTGATCATGGTCGTGATCTTGATCATGGTCCTGGTCATGATGTTTGTGGCTGTGTTGTTGGTCATGGTGATGTTCGTGGTCATGGTCATGATCACTATCTTGCGCATGATGTTTGTGATGTTTATGGCTGTGCTGTTTGTCATGGTCTTTATTGTGGTCATGGCCGTGGTCTTTATCATGGTCCTTGTCATGATGTTTGTGTCTGTGTTGTTGGTCATGATCTTGGCCATGGTCATGGTCATGGTCGCTGTCTTGATCAGTGTCCTTGTCATGATGTTTGTGGCTGTGCTGTTGGTCATGGTGATTTTCGTGGTCATGGTCATGATCACTATCTTGCGCATGATGTTTGTGATGTTTATGGCTGTGCTGTTTGTCATGGTCTTTATTGTAGTCATGGTCGTGGTCTTTATCATGGTCCTTGTCATGATGTTTGTGTCTGTGCTGGTGATCATGGTCATGTTCATGGTCTTGATCGTGGTCCTTTTCATGTTGGCTGTGATATTTGTGGCCGTGCTGGTGGTCATTGTCATGTTCATCATCATCATCTTGATCATAATCATGATTACTGTCTATGTCATGATGGCTGTGATGCTTGTGGTAGTTGTCATGCTCCTTGTCTTTGTTATGGTTTTCAAGGCCATGTTGCTGTTCATGGTGATGATCCAGGTGCTCTTGGTTGTCATTGCGGCCATGGTGGTCATCATTATCAGAGTCGTTTTGATCATGTTGGCATTGATTGTCCTGCTTGCAGTCATGGCCACTATCATGATGGTCTTGATGGTGGTCAGTGTCATGTTGGTCATTGTAGTTATCATCATGATGAAGCTTATGGTTTTTATGGTGCTGGCGGTGTTTATAGAGATTAGGGAGCTTAAGACGAAAGTGATGGCTCTTGCGGTTGTTGCGTTTTTTATTACGGTGGTGACCAAAACGATGAAATAATCTTTTATTAAATTTTAAAATATTTTGGGCAATTGAGTCCGTTTTTTTGGTACCATGATCTTCTTTGGTGACTTTTGAAGCATATGCTAGGTATTCTGAAATACTCTGATCACCTGAATGACAAAAAAAAAAAATAATAATGAAAAGTTACAGAAGTGTCCAATACATGAAATCATAATTTGTTCACTGTTTCTTTATGTTATGAAATGATGAACAGCAGTGTGTGCTTTGTGTTGAAGTTTACTTGGGTTGTAGTAATCATAGATGATGACGGTAGATGGTTTTAGGTGTAGCACCACATGCTCCAGTACCAGTTGTAACTCATGGAACACAGGAATGTCCTTGTGTAACTGAACAGAAAATATTCTTTTTTTAATAAAACACGTGATATAAATGTAGAAATCACCATTGGTGAGTGTTTCCCTTACCTCCCATAAGTATAGAATAACATGCCCATTTTTGTATTCAACATTTTTCACTAGCACACCACTCTTAAGCTGTGAGGAGAGACACTCATCATAAACATGACCTCTCATGAAAGCAGGCTGATTTTTGTATCATTTCCATTCAAGCCAAAGTTGCTGTA